TGTGTGTGTGTGTGTGTGTGTGTGTGTGTGTGTGTGTGGTTGGTTCTGCAGCAACGGCGACGAAAACAAAATTACGAAGTAGACTGGACATAAACCACACACTTGAGGTGTCATTGTCTCCTATTACCCCGAGATGGGACCGTCTGGTTGCAGAAAATCAAGCTCGGTGCTGTGGTGAGTTGTCATTTTCATGCACTTTGAATTTGCGTTGTATCGTATTTTGAAGGCATTAAACATTGCCATAGCGATCGGAGTGTTGCGGCCAGATTAGACGCTCCTTGTGTTTATTATTATATTTCGAAAACACCACAGTTTTCATGCAGCTCATACCATATTATTTTGTTGTAATATTTCCACCACACCTTAAATGCCGGTCCCTGAAAATATTGTCTGACATAAATCGGTCCATGGGGCAAAAAAGGTTGGGGGGCCCTTGCTCTCATGTTTTCTCCCATAATTTGGTGCTTAATTTTGTCATATGGTCCCAAAATTGTAACACGTTACAGGACTCAGTAACTGTAAAAATATTACAAAAATAACGATTACATTACTTTGTCACTGCCCAAATGTAATATATTCCCAACCCCAACACTGCGTACTAGTACATATCTAGAATACAATACATAATTATAATAGCTCAAACGGCTTGCCATACCACTGACAACAAAAAGGAAGGAATAACACCAGTCATGCGGCAGCTGGTCAGATAAGTACTATGAAAACTGCTTACCAGACCAAGACCGAGCAGAGGTTTTATAATGCCAAGTTGTGTAAATTTCGTAATTTACTGATTGTTACTGTTTCAATGTACAATAGTTTTATGCTCAAACCATTCTAAAAAAATGTTGGGAGACCACTAAATTGTATAGGGTAAGAGTTGTGTGCTTGAATGTAGCTCACCTGACGTCACTCAAATCAGTCACATTGTTTTTCTGTAGAATTTCCTTCCCTATCTCCCCCATTTGCTTCACTGCATATGACAACAAACACAATTACTTGTAACTTTCCATCAAAACTTCTTTTTTAACAAATATACAGTACACATTAAACTAGTAAGCTGTTAAAATATACAATATGAACATGGAAAGTTGATAATGGTAGGTACAGTGGATATAAAAATTCTACACACCCCTGTCCAAACTAGGTTTTTGTAATATTTTTTCCAACAATAATTTAACCTCAATAAACTGAACAACTCAATATTTTTTTTTAACATAAAACTTCGAGAAAGCAGTGAGTAAAAATACACAACTGAGATAACGTGGTTGCACAAGAGGGCACACCCTTCTTCAGAAGAAGATTAAAATTTTGGAATGGCGCAGCCAGAGTCCATATCTGAATCTGATCAAACATATTTGGAGTCATCTAAAAATTGCTGTGCACAAGGGATGCCTTCAGAAATTTGGAACATTTTTGCAGCCGAGAGTGGGCAATTACTTCCCACACTGATGGGGGGAGGAATTTCTATGTTAGTTTCTGGTTGGCATGAAAACGCATCGTGGCAACATGGGAAACATTTTAAAACCTAAAACTGACTGAGCAGCACACTGTAGAGTTGGCTGCAGGAGCTGTTTCTCCTTGTGTTCGACAATAAAAACCTGTGATGCCATTTTGAACTTGAAAAGTACTACCACTAAACTACATAATATATATATACTACAAACCTGTTACAAATCTTCAGGATATCACTCATTTGTCATAAGAGTTTTGTTTTTCCTGGCAGATGGCATTCTTGGAGCTTGTAAAACTCTCAGTGGAACCTGTTATGCCATTTAACCTTTCCAACAGAAATGTTTGGTATGTTGCCAAGGACTGATGACTATGAGCCAAAAAGAAGTAATAAAAGCCATAGGTACTGCCACAAAGTTCTCATTTGAGGGCATCCACATTTATGCAACCACAGACACCCCTTATTATTTTTATCGATCATTTCAGTCAGTTGACTGCCACATGCAGAAACAACAACATAAAAATATGTGAAATGTGACTTTACCCAAGGGAACGTGTTCTTTGCGAAGTGTTTTGCAGTTTCCAACATGTTTATTCGGGACAACTAGGTAATGGTGCGGCGCTCCAGGCTTGATGTCTCGGAAACATGAGATATCCTCATCCTGTGGTAAACAATGGAGAACTTTAGATGCAGTAAGATACTGGGAGGCCCATAAATATTCACTTCAGCATAACTTGCTTTCTAACCACAAAGGTACTTGTTAAAGTACAAACGTCGAGCAAACTCTATATGAACAAGAGATGGCTAGAGTGAACCTTCCCGTGTATTAAACACATTAATACAAGAACAGAATATGAGGCAGACAATTGTGTTAACAAACCGTAGAACGAAGACATAAGTGTTAGGTGACTCGACTAGAATAACATGCTAGCTAGGGAGTCAAATATAATACTACAATGTTATACTGTTTAGAAAATTGTTCTCACACAGTGGAGAAGTTCCGTGTCCATTTCATGATTAACAATCCTGCAAAAAATACATTTTTTGTCATATCCTTCGGCTAAAACCTTGTTCTCGAAAATACCCGGATCAGTTTGTATCACGGTAACGTTGCTCCCCTCCATTTTGAAGAGTGAGACAGGAAGACCAACACAGTAGTGATGTGTCGTTCGCGAAAGAGCCGGCTCTTAGAGCCGGCTCTTTGAAGTGAACGACATGAGCCGGCTCCTAAGAGGGAGCCGCTTTAATGGGAGCCGACTTTTTTTTTTCCTCCTGTTTTTTCCCCCTTTCGGTTAAAGCCGCACGTGATTGGTCAAGATCCGTGGTAGAAGAGGGAGGAGAGGGTTACACACGCACGCACACGCACGTATACACGCACACGCGCGCACACACACACACACACACACACACACACACACACACACACACACACACACACGCACACACACGCACGCACACGCAGACACAAACACACGCGCGCGCTTCACAGTGAAGAGAAGGGGGAGGAGTCAGAGAAACAGCAGCACACTGTGAGCAGCACACGAACAGGAGAGACAGGGAGACGAGAGAGAGCTCGATAGCGCTACAGTACAGAGAAAAAACTACACGGTGGAAAGTGGAAAGGTGAGAAAATGGATAGGCAACGCAGTGAAATTTGGACCGATTTCAACTGAATTGATAGTTCAAAGGCAGCGTGTAGACTGTGCAAGGTTAAAATATCCAAAATCAAATTTTAATTGATAATTTGTTGTGTGGTAATCAAAGCTTACTTATGTTGTTTTACTGTAAATATTTAAACACTTATAAATATGCACAATCAGAGATTGGAACTTTTTGTTGACCTTGTTTTGAGATGGGTCTTTGTTTTTGTACTTTGTAATTTATTTTTTTGTAGCACTCCATGTTGTACGCCATGTTGAGTATGTTCAGAAGAATATAAAGAAAGCCATATAAATAATAAATATTTGATATACTGTATAGTTTTTACATTCGTAATTCATTTTACACATAATTTTACATGATTTTTGGGAGTAAACTAATTAAAGCAACAAAAAAACTGAGGAGCCATTGGGGAGCCAAAGGAGCCGGCTCTTTTTAGTGAGCCGAGCCAAAAGAACCGGCTCTCTAAAAAGAGCCGGAATTCCCATCACTACAACACAGTCGATCCCAGAAGTTATCGAACTACTAAAAGGGAAGCAAATACAGCGCGTTCGGATATACAGGTATGTTCACTGCTTTACACCGACCCTTCGGAAACTATCAGCGTCCTCTTTTGTGTCCACTTTTTTACGCCATGTCCCGGCATCCGGAACGGATTAATATTAAAAAATTCCGACTTCTAACTAGGTTCTGTCAGTCGTCATCTGTACCTGTGGATAAAAAACAAAAAACAAAAAAGGACGTTTCGCTTCTCTCACAGAAGCTTCGTCAGCGGTAGACA